AATGTAATATGATGACTGTACTGGTGTGTATTGTGGATATGAATCTGATTTATGGTAAAACAGTAAAGGGTAGCAAAGTGACTGTACATCTGGTCTCCACACGCTTAACATTCACTCACAGAGATTTCTGCCTGAGCTCATATTCTGTGGAATAAACAGGTGATCAGTTCAGTCTTATTTTCCATCAGTTCCCATCAACTGAACTCTGAGCCATTAGGATTATTTATATTAGATAATTTGTGACTTTTGCTTCTCAGTGAAATATGGATATAGGTTTGATGTGATTAAATGAAGGTTCACCACAATATTCTCAGTCACTTATTTCTAAAGTACACCTTCAATGCTTTTTCAAAGTTGAGTACAGGACACTGAGCAAGGTATGATTGTTTACATTATTGTTAAAACTCAATTATAATGGATTTATAATAGTCATCTGTTAATTAAAATGTCAAACATGTGATGTCTGTCAACAAATCCTCAAATCGGAGAATTCTGAGAAGGAATATTGCAGCCAGCAAACATCATAACAGTATCAGTCAAAAAATCATTGATGAGTAGGGCCAAACTTAAGTGGGAGAAATGATCAGGCCATCCATACAGGCACTTGTATATCCATACACACGTGTATATACTCTAGGAATATTAATTTAAAATATTACATTTTTGGACCGTTAGTCTGAAAAAACAAGCAATCCAGAAATGTCTCCTAAGGCTCAGGGAAAGAACAGGCCAGACTTTTTCATCAAGATCCATGAATCCATAAATCATCAGAGTTAACCACACAAAAAAACTGCTCAGAGCAGGGTTGAGCTGCAAAAAAGGGTTCCTGTCTTCTGGGTAGACGGCAAGTGGCATATTACTTACCATAATACATCAAAAAAATCAACAAAATAATGAGAATTAACATTTGAAACCCTAACCCTGAAAATCGGTTAATGGGTCAATTTTGTTGTCCATTTTCTATTATCAAAACAAAATCGGAAAATGGGTTGTTTAACTGGCAGGCTAGATGAGTTATCCATGCTGATACTCTAAATATTAAATATCAAAACCAAGTTGAGCCCGTGACCTGTTTTTTCATTTCCTATTTTTGATCTGAGCAAAAAATCCAAACTATGAAAATCAAACTATTATTTTTTATTCATAAATGAATAACATAATAATGACTTGTTTTTAAACTTTCCAATTTTGGTTCTCTAATTCAATATGAACGAATGATACACAGATTTACGCAGACCATGCATGAAAACACAATTTATCAAGGTCAGCAACATTATCGAGTTCATATTTTTATGTATATATACCAATATATATTGTACAATAAGTCGAGACAGTAATTATCGCTACAGGCCTACTCTGTGCTTGTTATGAAAAAAAGTCTGCGTACCATAGCTGCTAAATGCATATACTAGTAATAGCGATAATGATAATAATAATAATTATAGCTTGAATTTATATAGCACCTTTCAAGGGACCCCAAAGACGCTTTGTGTCAGTGGGTACAAAAACAGAAAAGAGGGTAATTTGCACAAAATGTAGGGGAAACACAAATTATAAAGAAAATTTTGATGTAAAAATCAAATTCTGAATCTGCAGCAACATTTCTTGGGTTCTTTCTTGACCCGTACCACACCCTTCCACTCAACTTGACTATACTAAAATCTGCCCATAGACAAACAAACCCAAACAAAAACATAATCTCTTTGGGGTGATAACAGCTAGTTGAAGCCCTGAATATTATTTGCACTCAACTCACTTAGATTAAATACAAATCATTAAAACCATTAAAAGGGCACACCTAAGTGAGTAACTAACCTGATAGTAGTAGTCATCAAGGTAAGGGTCAGTACTCTGCAGCTGCATCATCTGGATCTTGGTTACCCACTCTTTCTCCTTCTGAGTCATCAGATTACTGTAGGGGTCCCTGCTGTGCCGGTCCCCTCCGGTCCTGCCACGATCCCTGCAATGAGGCAGAGATTAGGGCTGCAAAGTATATTGGAAAATGTATTATCATTGCGATATCAATACACATATGTGTATACATTCCGCAAAAGACTGCAATATATGTTGTCCATGTGCCATCCAATCAGATGGAGCCCTACTGCCCGAGAGAATAGTGAATTGCAAGGCAGCTCCGGCAAATCTCATGCCGCCTCCTCAAGACTAAATTCTACTGTGGAATATGTCAAAATTCTTCACTATGAGTGTTTGATTATATAAAAGAATTGTGTAGTTTAACACACACACACACACACACACACACACACACACACACACACACACACACACACANCACACACACACACACACACACACACACACACACACACACACCTCTGACTTGCAACAGTTTAGATGTTGATTGATACTTTTATAAATGAGTTAAATCATTCTTCTGAGCAGCGAGCTGTCCTTCTTGCTCTTGTATGAAAAGACTCGGTGGTGCTGTGGGCGGTCTGTGCATCCTATTGTACTTAAAGGTGGCAGCTGCTGTCTGGCAATTTCAGTTTGAGTGACATGTTACATGTTTCACCTGCTCAGAGGTGTGTTGAGAATCATATTTTCTTTTTGATTGGTGATACAGGACCACAGTGCTGTGCGACACTGCAGCTCTAGCTACACAAATACACTTACCCTCCTCGGCTTTGCATGCGCTGGGTGAGCATGCGTCTGTGCTGAGGGTGAAGGTGGGTGGTGTTGTGGCGGATGGGTGGCGTGTGGTTAGGGGGACCATGAGGGGGCAGTGGGCCCATTCGGTGACCATGTGGAGGAGGAGGGCCCCCGAAGAATGGCCTGAAAACTCCACCACCTGGTAACAAAGGAGGCGCTGGCCCACCACGAGCAAAACCAGCCACCTGAATAGAGACACATACCAAGACAATGACGAGTGTGAGCGGGGGACTTGTGATTTAGAGACTAATTAACTACTGGGGATCCTGTGTCAGTCATAAAGCTTACAGTGCAGATTCACATTGGGGGGACGACTTTCAGCCAGCCTCACCTTGTTATTACGGTGAGGCTCAAACTCTACTCTTCTCTCATCTATCTAAACATTTAACCGGCTAAAGCACAGTTGAACCACCTTACCTATGTTGTCACAATGCAGTCTATGCCATTAAAAACTATGCTCTTCACCACCTTCAATGTCAAGGCCAAGTCTGAAGCTCCCAAACAGGATCCCAGCTTGGCTGATATTCATAGACCCAATGCATCTCTTAAATTTACCTGTCTATGGCAAATTTGTGTTTCCCTGATTGAGAAGCAGTTTCTTAACGTTCCAAGTTGTGCCTTTCTTGAGGGGTTGCCAGTTTTACATAATTAAGTAAGTATGTACAAACCCTAGCCAGTCAACAGATAATAAGACACCATTTGGGCTGGATTTGTTTTGATTTTTCTCTTTTTCATTTTTTATTTGAGGTGAATGTTTTTTTTCGCTTTGTCTACTCTTTCAGTTCTCTAAAAATGTCAGAGCACTCATTCCATAGTATTACATAAAAAAAGTCCACCTTCATTCTTGTGGTGCTGTAGTTTCTTACAATTTCGTGTCTTTCATTAGTTTTTCTCTTGCACAATTATTTCAGTATTCCATTACTTCATTACTTCATCACATTTCTCAGGATTTATCATTACAAGCTCTGCTTTTCTGTTTCCAGAGTTGTCATGTAAAACTAAGTAGTGAGTCAGTAGAGCCATACCAGTCTGTAAAGGCTGAGTGAGTGTGTGTGATACTTACTTGAGAGTTGAGCAGCTTGGCCCGTTGAATCTGAGACAGAACTGGACCAACTCCAGGAGGGAAGGGACTGCGACACAGCGGAGAGTTCTGGACATAATCAGTAGATATAAATTTACATAAAGCTCATGATAAATTGTAATAAAAAAGATTGGAAGTGTGTTACGCTAATTTTTTCTCTTTATTTAGAAAAGAAAAAGGGTGAAATCTTGGGAAATTTGCTTTTTACATTACACTTGCTTCTTAAATTCATCTTAAATAAAAACATAAAACAAAGATGGAAATGTGTAGAGTCAATTGGGCAATTCCCATGACAACCAGCAGAGACTCCAGGTTCTGCATATACTGTATCTCAAAACAGCAGCCGATAATAAACAACAAAAACATAACATGGACACTATGTGATGCAATAAGCACAGTTTATCCTTACTAACTGACTGGTGTTGTGCCATTAAAACCTCAAGGAAAATCCGAGCACATTATATGATTTCATGTATACACAGAGCTGAAGAACTAAGGGAAGGATGGACAGAGGATAAAGGGAAAACTTACAGCTATGTTGAGGAGGGTGTTGGGTGACAGACGCTCAGGGAAAGGAGGAGGGTATCTGTGCTGGACCGGGGCTCTCACATGAACTGCTGTGGGATGATGCGTCTACACATACAAATAGAGATGTGCACACATGTTTAGTTCAGAGGACGAGGTCAGACAGTGCTAACATAGTGTAAAACAATACTGCAGCATGATGCAGCCAAGTTAATACTACAACCATTGACTGTATATAAAGATAATTAACATGAAAGCTCCATGATAGTGCAGCCAATACATTGGGATTGACTAAATAATGAGTGATTATGAAATTATGATGGGGGTAGGGGACTACACCAACTAGATACTATATTTCATACTTTGCAAAAAGAAATTAGATCCAGTGTTTATTTTGTCCTTAATGAAAAGGAGAGGGTGACAGAGGAAAAATTCCAGTATCAGGGTTGTCTCCATACCTGATGATTTAGATTGTGGCTTATTGGCTGTTTGGGCGGGGTCCCAATAGGCACGGCCCTCACTGGAGGGGAACCAATCACAGGTGAAGAAGACCGAGGTGGTGGTACCCTCTCTGAAAAATCCAGTCCTTCATCATTCCTAACCCGAGGAGGTAATTTAGGAAGGCCCACCTCTTTGATGATAGAAATTAGTGGACTATCCTGCAAGAGGAAGAAGGTTGTAAATTTGACATGAGAGAGATCAAAAAGTTTTAAGCACAATGCATGAGAAAAAGTGTTGTACTATTGTTTCTCAATTGAATTTGTATCAACAATTTCATGTCTTTAATTTACTGTTCAAAACATTGCAGCAAACAGCAGTGTTATAAAAAAACATATTCAATCGCCTTCAAGTCCTTTCACTTCCCAATGATTTCGAGCTGATCTTGAGGTAGATATCATGCAGGAAGACACTGTAGCTTTCTGCTAACTCTCCAGGACCTGAGGGTTTTCCTCAGATTAAAAAAAACAAAACATAAATTAACCCTGACCGCACGACAAAGATGATTATGTGCTTGGAAGCTGGTCCTTGGTTTTGTCCTCTGAAGTTAAAAGCATATTTTATCCACACTGATCTAATACAAGGCGTCCCAAGAATCTAATTGACAAAAATCCCAGAATTTATTGAACAGCAGAAACCTTCATGAAAAGACTGAGATGAGGATCAAGGACTAAAAAACTTGATATGGAACCAATAAAAAACAGTTTGGAATAGGCAAAAAACATAATTTTTGATTACAATATTTGGTAAATGTTCCTTTGTGCCCCCCCCCCCTGCTCCATAATGGTTCATTGGGGAGAAATTTCACATGCCAAGCCTTGAAACACAAGCTGAGGAAAAGATATTCAACAAGACACAAATGGACAGTGATGAAGAAGAGGAAAAAGAGGAGTGACCCTCACCTCCATGTGTGTGACAAGTCCTGGTGTGACACTGACCGGCCCAAACCCCATATTGTTCTCCCAGATACTGTGAGAGTTCATCTGAGAGTGAGAAATAATTCAAGCCAAATTCAAACAGAAAGGATTTTAAACAAGTGAAGTTTAAATCATTGTCAATTCAGTGATATGTTTTAATTTGGTACAACAGTTATATAAAATAGAATATATCTGATAGTATGATGTCATTTTCACAAAATGATTTTAATCTGAATATAAACTGTACATTTCTCTCTTTACTGTCAAAAAAGTAGTAATACAAAGTGGAGTTCGACATTGTAGAAAACACTGCAAACACCCGATGTGGAAAAAAACATACGAAAAAGACATTGTATAACAGAAATGTCAGATCAAGGGATTGTACTTGTGTAATTTTTCATGAGTATCTTAGACCAGAAGAGTTAGAGACGAGGCTCCAAATAGTTTCAGGGAAGGCTTGGTGAGTGGACGTTTTAAAAAATGACAGTGTTAAATTATTAATCAGGAGATTATGTAGAACTGTCTTAAAGTTTGTGATTGAAATGTAGCATCATCTGTCCAGTCAGATCATCCACTTCTCGACTTCAATAGTTCTCGATCAACTCAGCCGAACCAAAGACCAATGTTTCATTATTGTGGGCAGTGACATTATAGCTGCTTTAAGTCGTGCACTGAACTCGACCATCGGAATATTCTCTGGAGGCGCTGTGTGTGAACGCAAATAGGTCTGATGCACTCCTAGATGGAGTTTAAAAAAGACCACCGTAAATGCCAGAAAAGCTGTGCATGACAAAAATAGAAACGCTCCAACAAAATATAATGATAGGTTTGGGTCTGCAAAGAACAGAATCTGGGTCCGGATCTGGACTGCGGTCTGAGTATTGGTGACCTATGCTTCCGATGATCACGGGCGACCACTTCAGCTTGCTCTTTGCAGCAACCTCCTTTATGACACATTAGCGCACGTTGCGCTAATAAACGTTGCCCCAGCCCTACTCCTGTCATTTTCATTATATCAACCAGTCCACAACAGAGCTTAAATTTGAGGGTTACACAACTGCTCCTGGTCTCTCTCTTCAGTAGTCAGTCTCTCTCTCTCCCCCCTGAGGGAAATAACAGAGCACACATGCACACACGCACACAAACTCTGCTGCTCTCTCACCGTCTCTCTCTCTAACTTGCTACAGTTTATAAGTTGATTTGTTGTCGCCACAATATCAACACTGATCATCATGATGATCAATACTGTTATAAATTACCTAAATCTTTCTCCAGAGAAGCACATTTATCAGCTCTCTCTAATAAAATACTAATAAACTATACTAAGAAAATGAAGTTGGTAACATTCTTTTTTAATGGCTGGGTATTGCGATATTTTTCGAAAGAAAGGAAGGGAGATTGGATCACAAGTGGTCACAGGAGAGACATTCAGGGCAATTTCTTATGTGTGAACCGTGATGTTCACTTGTGATCAGATCTCTCAGGATGGATGTTAATACCAAGTCTGAACATGGCCTTCGACAGCTTACCTGGGCGATTGGAGCAGATCCTCTGCGCAGCAAGTGCTGCTGCTGTTGGTAGCTGAGCATTGATGTTGGAGGAGGACCAAGGGGGATGCCTGGAGGAGTACAGGGTTCATCAAAATCCAAAATATTTCAGTAAAGACAAAAGCACTCCATAGCAATGTAACACCAAGAACCACATGGAGACAATACTGAACATATAATCAGAGATAAACGATGACACCATTGCACAGTTTAGACTGAACAAAATGCAGTGAATTATTAGATTAGCAATGTGTGTGGTTTTGAATGGGTGACAAAAGAGAATCCTTTATAAACAAATGGAGAACTAGAATCATTGCATTTGGGTAGCAATTCCCACTTCTGCTCCTGAAACCTGGTGTTAAGTAATGGCCAGAAAATTGTAGTGCAGGACATTATTATGTCACAGTGGAGTTTACCTTTGACATTCAATCATATAAAATATAATTTTATACTATTAGACATTAGTCTGAATATTTGTCCTGATTAGCACATGAGGGCTCAATCCCATTTCACCCCTTCTCCTCTATTTTGCGCTTTCATGTGTAGGGGTAGGCTGTCCCAATACTTGTTGAGAAAGAGGAGGAGGGCCAAGTGGTAGGGCCATACAGCCCTCGAAACTGAGTTTTTTCAGATGCACACTCAAACCGAGGGCTATGAGAATTTCCCAGAATGCCTTGAGAATCACAGGCAAGCTGGGAGAGACCCACAAATGTAGTGTTTTCTCGCTTAATAAGGCAATTTTAAGTAAATTACTGCATTCATTCTCACCTGAGGTGGAGGGCCCAGGAGGCAGCTGGTGCTGAGGGTGATGTGGAGGCTGGTGTGAGTGGGTGGGATTTGGGATGGAGTGCTGTGGCAGGACTCTTGGTTGATCAAACCTGTGGTGAGTACTAAGGGTGGATCCTGTGGCGCTCAGGGATGGACAGGGCCTCTCAGTGGCTCCGACCCCAGCGATGGCTGGGTCTGCCTCCAGGATGAGTCTCGCCAGGGACTCAGCTAAGTCACCGTCCCCTCCTCGATCCTCTACATCTGAAATGATAGATTTTCCAAAGTCTGGATTACTGCGCTCCATGTCAGAGCACAAACAACCAATTATTTGGCCAGCAATTCTGTTGTGATCCAATCAATTTAGCACTGATGGTTAATCTCCTTTTATCACATGACTGACCTGGTGGAGGCAGTCCAGAGGAAGACGAGGAGAAGTTGAGTGACGGAAGGGAAGATGGAAAGGGATGATGGCCTGCAGAGATAGCGAGATGGGAAGAGGATGAGTCATCTGTTCCTCCTAAATCTGATTTCCTCTCCATCCCTCCTCCTCCTCCTCCTCCTCCTCCTCCTCCTCCTCCTCCTCCTCCTCCTCCAGCACCGGCTCCTTGCCCATCCCGCTCATCAAGGTTTGCGAGGCGTTTGTGTTCCTCTTGCCAGTCATCATCTGTAAAAGGAAAAGACGGAGATAGTTTATTGGTTGACAGAGACATATTTATATACAAGCTTGTGCTATTTAGAGGCAGATTAGCCTTATTTTCGTTCATAAATTTGACAGTGTCTCAAAGGCAAATTCACAAATGAGTGTGATCTTGACGGTCACTAACAACAGCTGAAAGCATCTTCACTAAACATTTTGAACACCTTAATTTCATCTGTCTTAACTGATATTGAAAAACTATGATGTCTCATTGTAATCTGAAATTAATGCATGGAAAAAAATAGAATTACCCCACTGTGGTTGTACACCTCCACCAAAGAGTGAAGTTTCCGTATCCATATTTCTACAAACTTTTTTTCCAGATTCATGTAAGGTCACTGTGACCTTTGACAACTGAAACATAATAACTTTATCTTTGAGTACAAGTGACAACTGATCAAAAGATGAAGAAATTCCCTCAAGCAGTCTTAAGATATCATATTCAAGAGGCCAAAAATATGTTTCCTTGGCAAACTTGACCTTTGACCGCCAAGATCGGATTAGTTAATCAGTGATTCTAAGTGAATTGTACCAGATGTAATGAAATGTCCTATGGGCAGTCCTAATATATCACATTCACAGGGACATGAGGTCAACTTGACCTTTGAGTCCATCTTTGAGTCCATCTTTGAGCCCGTGGGGCAGACACCACGGAGCCAGGCACAGCTCCACTATGCCCACTTACAGTGTAAATTTGGGGTCTTTTGGTACATGTTTGACAGACGACGACCCGAAAACACAATGCCGTGGTTTTTCTTGAACCTTTTTGTCTCAACATAATAAATTGTTTTTTTAATCAACAAAAGGCAAATTCAAAAATGGAAGAGCAGACACAAATTTAGGTCCTTGACAGACAAGGAATCCTAACTTGAATTTTAAGAACAGTAATTCAACTCAATGTAAACACATTTTCAATTTAATCATGTGAGACTTACCGATGGCCCCAGCTCCAAAGGTGTCGTCATTGAACTGGTCTATTTCTTCTTCCGCTGCTGTCAATCCCTCATCTTCCTCCTCCAGTGTACAGTCATCATCCAGGGACTGCAACGACAGTAGGGAAAATGGGGGAATAAGAAACGGGGTGAGATGAAGGTGGTAGGGATGCATATTGGGCTGCTTAATATATCATTGTGATAGACATATTGCAAAAGATGTCAAAAACTACAATAAATCGGGTTCCACAAAATATATTTGGCCAATAACATGGAGCCCTGCAGCCCTGGATACTGAATTAAAGACATTCAGAATCATTGTCAGAAGAAGAGAATAGAGAGAGGCTGTCAAATCTCATCTCTGTTTAAATTCTACTGTGTTAACTTCTAGTGATCACGTTCGTCCCAAGTAAAATTCATAATTTGAGGAATTTTTAAGCTTACTTATGATTCAAGAACCTGAGAGAAGTAACAGTGCACACATTCAGACACACACCCCACAGCTGTGTGTGTGTTTCTTTCTCTCTGTCTCTCTCCCTCTCAGCTGACGTCTCCACTACAGTTTAAAAGTTGATTTGTTTGTCACCACAATATCGACACTGATCATCACATAATGATCGATTATTTTATTAATGAGTTCAATCTTTAGTCAGAGTAGCGCGCGCATTCATCAACCACTCACTCCCTCTTTTTCTCTCTCTCTCTCTTCTTTGCTCTCTCACACACAGACAGTGTGACCGGACAGGCGTGTAAACTCAGTCTGGGTAAAAACTACACACTAAACTTAGTAAAAGTATGGAGCTGGAGGAGGTGTCGGTGAGCACTCTATTTGTTTTGGTGCAGTTGACGAAGCACACAGAGCGAATGATAGAGACACAGAGAAGCGTAGTAAATTACAGACAGATCCATTAAAATCTATAAAAAAATAACTTTTTATGGTCCAAACATATATGATATATAAACCCCAAATTAACACTGTGAGTGGACTTAGTGGAGCTTTGCATGGCTCCCTGCTGTCTGCACCAGACTTGGTGGCGCTGATGTACCAATATTGCTTTCACCTATTAAAACGTTAATACAAGTAAACCATCAATCTGCTATTGTTTAATGCGTCAAAGCTACGCTGTACCCTGATGTGTACCCCAAAAATGTAACTACGCATCGAGGCGTTGCATACCGTAAGAGCTGTGATTGGTCCGCTTTGTAGAATTGCATTGTTAAATTGAGTTAAAGGTCCAGTGTGTAAGATTTAGGTGAAAGGGAACTATTGGCAGAAATTTAATGTAGAATAATCCTCATGATGTTTTCACTAGTTTGTTTCATATAAAATGTATAAATTGTAGTTTTCTTTACCCCAAAAAAGACCATTTATATTCAAATACTTTATATTTACATTGAGGAGACCCTCTCTACGGAGGCCGCCATCTTTTTTTACATTTGTCCAGACTGGACAAACTAAAAACCTTTTGAGTTTTATGACAATTCAAGTCTACCACAGGTTCTTTTTCATGTGTGGAAGGAGAGGGTGAGGTGAGGGGTGTTCAGCCACAACATGAAATTTCAACACTAGATATCACAAAATTCTACACACTGTACCTTTAAAGAAATGAACACAGACAACACCTTTTTTCCCTCTTTGCAGTATTTTAAGAGTAAGTGATGCACTTCAACATCAGTCAGTTCCAACTCCAAAATGTTACGCTGAAGAACACTCTTCATTGTTCTGAAGTAAACACAGAGGCCAGGGATTTGAAAATGAGGCCCAGAAAAACTCAACACCTGCATAGAAGCTCTACCGCCACAAGCGTTTCGGCGGTGAAATTGCAGCGCGACTCACATACGCTCCACTATGAATGCTCGGCCCCGTGCGTAGGCTACGGGTGTAGCTTCGACGCAGAGGCAGGTATTGGGCTTCACGCTGTCACATTAAACCATATGACCAACGGGTAGCGTTGAGCCGATGAAAATACTACATGTGATTACATTCATTTCTAATTTGGCATGAAGGCATGAAAACTTTCCCTGTAGCATGATGCGGCTAAAGCGCTGAAGTATGCTAAGCTTTTTTAACAGAGTTTATACCGAGTTTAGAATCTTGTTTACCTTCAACACTCATCTTGTTTGTCACGACTAAATTACAGGTTTACAACTTTAGAGACTCTGGACATACAACACAACAGCGAAGTAACGTAATATTCCTGTTATGTCACATCTGCAGTTAGCGAGCGTGTTTCCTCACTCAGACAATGCAGATGCACAACAAACTCGAGGTATTAACATTGTAAAACATTGTGTGTACACGTTAGAAGCTCCACTATGACTGTGCAATTCTAAACAATATGAGTAAACACAATCCAGAACCTCCTATCCACGACCCTTTGATACCCTGAAGGGAGCAGGCAAAGCCGTTAGCCAAAAATGCTAATGCTGACGTTACATCACGTATTACCCACGTCGATGGAAAATTGCTGCCCTGTATTAATAAGATACAGTATACGCTGAGCTTCTGACTACTTTCAAACACCGGAGGATTATTAATGAAACAAGAAGCCAATATCTTGTCACCGGTGTTGAGAAAGCGCTCCCTTACCCTGCGGCTCTACTCACCAGCCAGGCAGTCGAGCTGCTTCTCAGGCCGCCACCAACCGCATTGAATATGGCAGGCGCATAAACAATAGACAACACACACCGTGTAAAAACACATGCAGCGGTTTAGAATGACTGCCTGCTCTCGGTGAACCATCACAACCGAGACTCGCACGGTAGAACGTGGGTTTTTTGGGACACAATGCTCACCTGAAATCGAAACATCTATCTTTAGGCTTTCGGGAAAAGGAGTGCATCAGAAGCAAGGCGGCGCGCAAGTGACGCAGCAGAGACGTCCACTTGAGCGTGCGTCATGGAGCGGCGTGAACCGGCACGTATCTGGGCACAGACGGGGGCGGTGCTGCTGTTCAGTATTTATTGCGCGCTTCCTCGGTGAAGAGCTGAAAGAGACAAATTACCTAATATTTGATCACTTTTATCTTATAATGACAACTTTCAGTGTATATTAAAAATATATTGATAATTTTTCTTAATTTCTGCTCAAAGTGTCTCTGAGATTTTAAACACATAAGATAAGATAGGGCATTAGGATAGAGACAAATAAAAAAACAACCCAGTCCTAAACCCAGTGAAATTTTGTTACTGTGCCTCAATTTAGTTTTCTGTTCCGTGATTTCTGTGTGTGCACACAGGACTGAAGGCGCGTTTGCTTTTATGGGCATTGGGGGTGTTTTCAATTAAATTCAATTGTATTTGTGTAGCGCCAAATCATAATATACATTATCTCAAGGCACTTTACACAGAAGGTCAAGACCTTAAAATCTTATTTAATATTGAGAAACCCAACCACTCCCACAATGAGCAGCACTTTGGCGACTGTGGAGAGAGATAAAATCCCCTTTTAACAGGAGGAAACCTCTTGAAGAACCAGAATCAATGTGGGCGGTCAGCTGCCTCAACCGGTTGGGGTAAGCAGAGAAAAATCGGGAGGAGAGGAGAGATGGGTGGAAAAGATGGGAGAGAAGAGAGAGAGATATTGGGGAGGGGGAGCAGAGAGGTGAGAGAGGAGAGAGAGACCAGGAACAGTCAGAACCATCAGGTTTCAGCTCTGACAGACTAGTTGTTATAATGAAAACAATATGAGTGATAATTATGTATGTAAAGATGGTATTAAGGATAGCAGCAACAGTTCATAAAATAATAATAATAATATTTGTTGTCTGAATCCTGCAGATCTCGAGTCAGATAATCCTGCAGAGGGAGGGAGAGAGAAAGCAAAAGAGAGAGATAAAGAAACAGACAGAGAGAGAGAGGCTATGGGATGGAAAAAACACAAAGATAGTGAGATGTATTAAAATAAATAAATAAATGATGGGGCAGAGAGAAAGAGAAAAGGGAGAAGTTCTTAGTGCATGATGGGAGTTGCCCCAGCAATCTAGACCCATAGCAGCATAACTAAGGGATGGTTCAAGACTCACCTGATCCAGACCTAACTATAGGCTTTATCAAAAAGGGCGTTTTAAGTTTAACCTTCAGTGTAGAGATGAACGTGTCTGCTTCCTGAACCTATAGTGGGAGCTGGTTCAACAGGAGAGGAGCCTTGTAGCTGAAGGCTCTACCTGCCATTAATGCAAAACTCTTTTCCAGCTGTCTACCCAATGGTGCTGTAGCTAAATTATTCCAGATACATTTAACTATGTATCATCCCTCAACTGAGGACATTTTTAAAAACCCTAGTTCCACTGACTAGTAACATTCGAACATTAGACTCTGTAGCCCCTCTAAAAAAGAAGCATGTTAAACATAGTAAATAGGCCCCCTGGTATAATTCCAACAGTGAATTAAAACAATCATCAAAAAAACTAGAAAGGAAGTTGCCCTCCAACAAGTGTGTTGAAAATAGCCTATCCTGGAAAGATAGCGTCTCCTATAACCTCCTATAGCCAGGCTGGCTGAGAGTCACAGCTCCATTGAATCCAGTATTCCTCTATCCCTGAATTGTCTTGAGAATGTCTTTATGAACTTCTTTAATGATAAAATTCTAATGATTATGAATATAATCTACAATCTCCTGCCCTCAGTTGATGCTGATACATCATCAAGCACAGAAATCTCTGGAACAGCTGAGAATCCTATTAATTATTTAGACAACTTCTCTCTGATCACCCTTGATCAGCTGACCTCAATTATCTCATCATCTAAACCCACAACTTGTATCTAAGATCCCATTCCTAAAAAGTTATTTAAAGAATTTCTGCCCCTTATTAATTTTACTTTACTGAATATAATCAATCTATCATTATCATCAGGATATGTACCACAGTCCTTTAAGCTAGCTGTAATCAAACCTCTTTTTAATAAACCCACCCTGGACCCGGAGGTTTTAGCCAACTACAGACCAATATCCAACCTCCCTTTCATGTCTAAAATCCTCGAGAAGGTTGTAGCCAATAAGCTGTGTGAGTTTCTCCAGGAAAGTAATGTATATGAAGACTTTCAGTCAGGGTTTAGAGCTCATCACAGCACAGAGACAGTCATGGCAAAAGTCACTAATAGCTTCAGATCAAGGGTTTGTGTCTGTACTTATCCTGTTTGACCTTAGTGCAGCATTCAACACTATTGATCATCACATTTTATTACAGAGACATCCTCTCTTTGTTAAAGAGTTGGCTTAAAACCTTCCTCTATAATAAAGGTTATAGTTAGAGGTGGTTGAGGTCTGTCTCGGACCAGCTCTTGGTTTTGCTGCTATAGGTCTAGAATGTCAGGGGACACATGACACATGGAGCTTCGCTTTCCTCTTATCCCTCATTATCACATTAATATCTCATCAATACATATCACTGACTTGACTGAAATATAACAAACACTTTTGTAGTTTTAATGGTCCAGTGTAAGTCTAGAGAAAGGGAACTATTGGCAGATGTTTTCACTAGTTAGTTTCATCCAAATTGTATGAATTGTAGTTTTCTTTACCCTAAAAGGCCCTTTATATTTAAATACTTTATATTTACATCGAGGGGGTCCTCTCTATGGAGGCTGCCATGTTTTTTACATTAGTCCAGACTGGAAAAACTAAACACCTTTTGAGTTTTTATGACAACTGAAGCTACCACAGGTTCTTTTTCATGTTTGGAAGGAGAGGGTGAGGTGAGGGGTGTTCAGCTGCAATATGCAATTTCAACACTAGATATCAAAAAATTCTACACACTGTACCTTTAAGAGCCAAATAATGATAAAGACACTTATGTATTTATTGGTCCATATATGAACCCATAACTGTTACAGGCCTGGTTGGCTGCATTTATTTTTGTCCGATTGTAAGACCTTCGTAAATGGTGGGGAAAGGAAGGAGTCAAGCAAGGACTGCAAGGGCTTGTGGGGATGAAAGCACAAGTGAGCCAAGGCAGGGCTTGTTTGATGAGGGCTTGTGTGGGCTTCTGTGAGGGTTGTGTGATTGCCCTCTGCTGAATAGTGCTCTGCATGACTCTGCACTATTACCCAGGACACCTTGTCAGTATTTGCCCTATTTTATGGGTCACTTATGGATTTTACAAAGTTTGACAAAGATGGACTCAGATACACCATATAGCAACAGTCAGGTGACCTGAAGCATCCTATTGTCCAACAACCTGATGTCACACAGAATATGACGCTGCTGGTACTATGGCAGAGAGTTCTGCCTTAGTGCTATGGTGGTAATGGACTGCTGGTTGATAAATGTTTGGCCAGTTTCAGTCCTCGGCCCACGGAGTCCTCAGCTAGGCCGTCCACTGAATCACAACACATCTGTCATGTAGCCAATGTAAAAAAAAAGATCGGAGCAAATGTTTCTCCAGTGCTACTGGGGTCATGGCGCTCTGGAGGGACCAGCAGCTGTAGCATTGGAGAGGGTGGTTGGTTAAGGATCATTGAGGATGGTGAAGTGAGGAAGGGCTGAAGCTGAACTGTTGATGGAGCAGGGGACAAACCAGCATTCTCAAAGCCCTCATCATCCAGGCCTTCCTCTGCATCTACATCCCCCAGCATCCTGCCTGTCTCCTCTGAGAAATACATTCTTCATGGTCCTCCCTGTCCAGTGGTATTCTGTAAGAAAATTAGCTTAGGCAATTAAACATTAAAAGAGGGGTGCTAAAACTCACCAGTAAAACTCACTGTGGGAATACTCGGCCCACTCTGGGTACACAAGGGAGGAGAGAATGGCGTTTTAGCAACAGTCTTTATTTCTGGTCGCCTCGCCTGGCAGCCACACGCATATATATATATACACGGGTCTCTCAACCCACACATGTCCACACACGTCCACATACCGGCTGCTCCAGTCTCAGGAACCCAGCCTACTGCAAGAGAACAGAACCAGAACCTCTTATTGATGGCCTGATTATTTGATTCTGCACAGCTGTCTGATCACCGGCTGAGCCACATCTCCCTGTTGTCCAGCAGTTGGCGCCCTAACCATCCCCCGCCGTCACATACCCCCACCGCCCGACTCAGGCCGGGTTACCCGGCCTGTGGATCACCTGGAAGTTGAACGGCTGCAAAGCCAGATACCAGCGAGTGATCTGCGCGTTGGCATCCTTCATGCAGTGGAGCCACTGGAGTGGGGCAAGGTCTGACCAGAGGGTGAAAGGGCGCCCCAGGAGGTAATAGCGGAGGGCCCCGACCACCCACTGAATGGCGAGCCACTCCTTTTCCACTGTACTGTAGTTCCGCTCCCTCTGAGCCAGCTTCATGCTAATGTACAGTACAGTCCACCTCCTGGGACAAAACGGCCCACTGTTCGAGGCGTCCGTCTGCAGGACAAAAAGGAGAGAAAAGTTAGTATACAGCAGTGGCTTACCACAGAGGGCTAGCTTAACCCTCTCAAATGCCAGCTGACACTGCTCCGTCCACTGGACCGGATCTGAGGCACCCTTTCGGGTCAGGTCGGTCAGGGGGCTGGTCAGCTCCGAAAAGGCTGGGATAAAGCGTCTGTAGTAACCGGCAAGCCCCAAGAACCTCCTGACCTCTTTTTTCTTCTTGGGCGCCGGGCAGGCTGCAACCGCCGCGGTCTTCTCTACCTGCGGCCGCACCTGTCCGCCCCCCAAGTGGTACCCCAGATACCGTACCTTCCTCCGTCCCACACCGCACACTTCTTCGGGTTGGCCGTGAGCCCCGCCTGCCTCAGGGACTCAAGCACTGCCCCCACCTGCCACATATGCTGTTCCCAGGTCTCACTATAAATGATACATCATCTAAGTAGGCTGCAGCATATGCAAAGTATGGCTGCAGTACTCGGTCCATGAGGCATTGAAACATGGCAGGGGCCCCGAACAACCCGAACAGAAGTGTGACAAACTGGTACAAACCGTACAACAAAGCAACCTCTCTGGCTC